TGCCGGAATAAGTTGTGTTGCTCGGTTTGGAGTCATGTTTTAGAGTTTGTAATCTGTTTCCGGTTTGAGGCAAAATGTAAACAAATACTGTTGTGAATGTGTTTTGGCTGTTTCGGACATAAAGATATGGTATTATTGAATATTTTATTGATAAATTATCAAACGAAAGTTGCTTGTCACAATTTTTATTCTAGTCAGCGATAATTTGATGTCATAGTAAAAAAATAATTGTAAATCCCCTAGACTAAATGAGTGCATGTGTATGTAATAATGTATATGTTGTTTGTTCGTTTATATAACTACTGAAACCCGCCAAATAAACATAACGTGTTTCACCTCTCCTGTTCTTTATAGATTCTGCCAGGCCAGGTTAACATTTTGGGGGCTCGTCCGGGATCCTATCATGGCAGAGTTGACAGAGGAGATGTTGGAGGTGAGATCAAAGCTGATGATGGCACCACTGGACGTACTGAAGGGAATTCTGGAGGAATTCGGGGAGACTGTTGATACTTCCAAGGGTCGACTAGTGGTGGCTATGCAAGCAGATAAATTCTTCATGAAGGAGATGGAAGGCGAACAGTCTGGAACCACCTTGCTTTCAGTAAAATTTACTTTAGCAGATGCAGCTAAGAAAGAACTTGAAAAAACTGTGGGTATGAAATCAGAAACTGATAGTGTGAAGGACAGTAAGTCTCTTGGGGTTTCTGAAGAGGAAAAGGAAAAGAAACCGGAAGTCAAGAAAGAAAATCCCACAGCTGTAAAGCTACATAAGGACTTTAAAATCAGCGGCCAGGTTGATTGTAAGGCAGGGATTTCTTACACAAGCCTAATTCGACAAATCGAAACTGGTAAACAGAAGGGATATTCGGAGGTTGACATCATTGATGGGGTGATCAAGGCAGTTGTTCCATCCTCGAGTCTCCGTAGTTACCTTGATGGACGACCTGACATAAATCTGGCTACTCTGAGGAGTATTCTAAGAGGACACTACGCAGAAAAAAATGCTACTGAGTTGTATAGTGAACTCGCCAGTGCGACCCAAAATCCGAAAGAGAACCCTAATGATTTCCTTTTGCGTGTGATGGACCTCAGAAACCGGATTCTGTTTGCTTCGCAGGAAGATAACAGTGAACTCAAATACAGTCCAGAACTGGTTGCTGGTCTATTCAGAAGAACAGTTTACACAGGGTTACGGGACACAACATTACGACATGAGATGAGGAAACATTTGGACAAAGTGACTATATCCGATGCGGAGCTGATGCATGAGCTGAATCAGATTCTTATACAAGAGAGTGAGAGACTTAACAAGCTCCAGACTAAACACTCAGTGTCTACCTGTGAGATCAACTCTGTGAAGGAGGCCGTGAAAAATGACCTCGCCAGTGAAATCAAATCCTTACGGCTTGAGATGAATAAACTGAAGGAACTGGTCGGACATTCCCAAGGTGACGTGAGGACACAAAAAGTAAACACAAGCAGACCAAGTTGTGCAGACTGCCAAACCACCGGCAGACGTTGTGACCACTGCTGGACCTGTGGTGGATCCGGTCATCGTCGTCAGCAGTGCCCTAACAGAAAACCACAGCCTTCGGGAAACCTGAGCGGGTCGTCTTAGAGGGACAGTTGGCGGCCCAGCAACAGAAATGTCCCGCGAGTTGCTTATCTTGTCATTGTCGACTGTCAAGTGAAACTATCAAAGTTTGTGCAAATTGTCATTTAGCCACCTATTGTAGTGTCAATTGTCAAAAGGCACATTGGGTTGAACATTGTAAAATTTGTAATGCTGTCAAGTATATGAACACAAAATTTTTTGCTGAATGTCAACCTAACAATTTTCCTACAATGTCTGTAAATGAAATCAAAGGTGATGTGTATGATATTGGGCCAAACATTGTGAAACTTGTCAGTAAGCCATGTCATGTATCTGTTTTATTAAATGAGAAACCTGTGAAAGCATTGTGGGACACAGGGGCCCAAGTTTCATTGTTAAGTAAGTCATGGGTCATGAATTATTGTCCAGATTTAGTTGAAAGTGTAAAGAGTGTTGAAGAGTTTTTACATGCAGAGAATTTTTCATTAGTGTCTGCCTCTGGCTCAGATATACCTTTTGAAGGTGTTCTCACTGTCAGTTTAAAACTTGTAGAACAAGGAAACCCAATTCATGTACCTTTTCTTATCACCAATGTGTCTGGTATGAATGAACCCATTCTGGGGTATAATGTTATACAATACCTGTTACAATCTTTACCTAGAAGTGACGCTGTTGACTTGTTACAGCATACTCTTCCAGCAGCTGATGAGGCTCAGGTCAACGCCCTTTATCGAGAGTTGAAAGACACGGGAGACAGAGCACTGGGAATGGTCAAGGTAGGACGCAGGAATATAACTGTACCAAGACAGTCTTTGGTCTTCATCAAAGTACCATTTAAGGCCAGACAACTTCAGCATGGCACTAAGGCTGTCTTCATTCCGTCTCAAGAATTGGATGCATATGGAATTACATCACAGGAAATGTTTATCGACGTGAAGCCAAAACGTACTAGACACATCAAGTTGTTGTTGGCTAATCCATCCAAAACGGACGTGGTCATCCCAAAAGGTACCCCCTTAGGACACGCAGAAAGGATTTGTTCGTCAATTCACTTTGAGACTACAGGATCTAACAGTGTTCAGACAGTAGTGAATAAAGTGAGTACTAAAAACAGTGATAAGTGGGATCCACCTGTTGACCTCTCAAACTGTTCCCTTAACCCAGACCAGAAAGTGAAAGTTCAGGAACTTTTGAGGGAGGAATGTGAGGCGTTTACTTGTGATGATGATGATATCGGTTGTGCCGTGGACCTGCAGTTGGTGTTGGAACTGATGGACAAAGAACCTGTACATAGTTCTTACATGGCTGTACCGAGGCCTCTGTACCAAGAAGTAAAGGATTACATTGCCAACTTGTTACAGAAACGCTGGATTCGACGATCAACTTCTCCCTACTCTAGTCCAATTGTGTGTGTAAGGAAGAAGGACGGATCACTCCGTTTATGCGTCGACTATCGGAAGCTAAATGCGAAAACTGTCCACAACCAACATCCAATTCCACGAGTACAAGATGCACTTGATTCCTTAGGAGGAAGTCACTGGTTCTCACTCCTGGATCAAAGCAAAGCATACCATCAGGGTTTTGTGAAAGAGGAATGCAGAAAGTACACTTCATTTGTGACACCATTGGGACAGTACGAGTGGAATCGTATTCCATTTGGACTCACAGGTGCTCCTGGAATATTCCAAGCATACATGAATGAAGCTCTAGAAGGACTCAGAGATAAGTGTTGTCTCCCATACTTAGATGACATTTTGGTGTACAGTAACTCTTTTGAGGCTCATTTGAATGACCTTCAGTGTGTGTTGCGTCGTATGAAGGAGAAAGGACTGAAATTGAAGCCTAGTAAATGCCACATCTTTCAGAAACAGATCCGTTACTTAGGTCACCTTGTCACTACACAGGGTCATACCGTAGACCCAAATGACCAGGAAGCAGTGGTGAAATTAAAGGATCAGAAGTTTCAAACAGTTGGAGATGTACGGAAAGTGATGGGGTTTATCGGATATTACCGGAGTTATATTCCAAATTTCTCCCGTAGAGCAAAACCCATCTACGATTTACTGAAAGATGACAAAGACGCACCCTTATTGGGGAAGAAGCAGAAGAAAACCAAGTCCCAGAAATCAGGACAGAAGAGTTCATCAGTGCGGATTACATGGACAGCTGAACACCAATGTATCTTGGAGGATCTCATTGATGTCCTACTTCACCCACCAGTGATGGCTTACCCTGATTTCAGCAAACCATATACCCTCCACATTGATGCATCACAAATGGGTTTGGGAGCTATCCTTTATCAGAAACAGGATAATGACAAGCTGGCTGTAGTTGCTTATGCGTCAAGGACACTGACACCAGCTGAACAAAACTACCACCTTCACTCGGGAAAATTAGAATTCCTAGCACTCAAGTGGGCAGTGACAGAGCGATTTAGAGATTACCTTTACTATGCCACTCATTTTGAAGTGTACAGTGACTATAACCCATTGCGATACATATTCACCGCCCCAAAGCTAGATGCTACGAGATTAAGGTGGGTTTCCATGTTGGCTGATTTCCGATTTCATATCCACTACAAGCCCGGTGTGAAAAACAGTGATGCAGATGGACTCAGTCGCATGCCGCTTGATGTATCCAAGTTTACAGAGAGTTGTTCCCCTGACACCATTGATGCCATAGTTACAGCAGTAAGATTAGACGAGACTGTTTGTAGCAGTATTTGTGCACCAGTGAAAGAGGCTGAAGCGGAGGAAGAGAAACTTCAGGGTGGAACCTTTTCTTCTATAAGCAGTGCTACCTTAACACAGGAACAGAGTAAGGACCCAGACATTGGGCTTATAATTCCTTTTGTACAAAAGGGGACTAGACCTTCAAAGGAAGTAACCAAAGGTTGCAGCCCTGCTTCCAAGTGTTTACTAAGAGAATGGCCAAAGTTGAAGATGGTCAATGGACTACTTAAGAGGGAGATTTCACTACCTCGAGAAGGACAAATACAACAACTTGTACTTCCAAAATGTTATAGGAAGATAGCCCTTAAACATTTACATGATGATCTAGGACACTTAGGAGCAGAGAGAGTATTGAGTAGCGCCAGAGATCGATTCTACTGGCCTCACATGGGTTCAGAGATTGAGCGATATGTCACTCAGGAGTGTTCTTGTATCAAGGACAAAAGACCACATCTTCGGCGGAAAGCAGCACTACAACCCATAACTACGACTTGTCCATTGGAACTGGTCTCAATTGATTTCCTCCATCTGGAGCGCTGCAAAGGGGGATATGAATATATTCTTGTGGTGATGGACCACTATACCCGCTTTGCCCAGGTGTATATGCCACCAGGAACAAATCGGCTAAGACTGCAGCAGAAAAGGTGTTCAATGACTTTGTGCTAAGGTTTGGAATGCCTAGCAGACTTCACCATGACCAGGGACGTGAATTTGAGAACAGATTTTTCTTTGAGTTACAGAAGTTGTGTGGAATTCATCACTCTCGTACAACCCCCTACCACCCCCAAGGAAATGGCCAAGTGGAGCGTTTCAATAGAACGTTGTTACAAATGTTAAGAACTCTAGAACCGTCTTTCAAATCTGACTGGAAATCTCATTTAAACAAAGTCGTTCACGCATACAATTGTACGAAGAATGAATCAACTGGATATGCACCATTCTTCTTGTTATTCGGACGTCATCCAACACTGCCCATTGACCTCGTTTTCCCAGAGCTACAGCACTCAGAATCAAAGCAGACTTACTCACAGTATGTCACTCAGTGGAAGGCTCGCATGGAGGAGGTTTACAAAGTAGCATCACAGCAAGCAATGAAGATGTCTGATAAGGGAAAGCGTCAGTATGACAAGGCACTATTGAGCGCACGATTGTATCCTGGAGACCATGTACTGGTGAAGAATCTTTTGGAAAAAGGAGGGCCAGGGAAATTAAGGTCATACTGGGAGAAGGATGTGTATGTGGTACTTAAGCAAGTAAATGAGGATACACCAGTGTACGAGGTGAGGAAGGAGTCAGGACAGGGTGATATCAGGAGACTTCACAGGAACCTGTTAAGGCAGTGCAATTCTCTACCTGTAGAGTCCGGACATAAGGAGAAGGAAAAACCCTACCGGTTAAAACAAAACCGCAAACCAGCAGCCCCAGTCTATGATGCTGATGGCAGCTCCTCTGATTCGGATGGATCAATTGATTTTGGAGGGATCTCCTTAAATCCACATGCAGAACCGTTTGTGCCTCAACAGCATATTACAGAATACGATAGCTCAGACTCGGTGGTTGAAGTAGAGAATCCTAGTGACTCTCATTCGGAGGAACCTGTTGTGATTTCTGACAGTTCTGGTGACAGTTTTAGGTCAGCCCATAGTTCAGATAGACAGTCTGATAGTCAGGATGATCAGGAAGGCCCAAATTCTGAGGATAGACGTGGGGAGCCAGATGTTGACGAAACCAGCGAGACTGAAGACTATCAGTCAGAACGACCTAGGAGAACAACCAAACCTCCCAGGAAGTTTACATATGAACAGTTAGGGAAACCGTCATATATACAGACCATTAAACCAGACTTTGAAATTTTTGTGTAGATTTTCACATATTAGTAGACTGTCATGTTTTACAGCTCTCAGGGTAATTGCCCTTGTGAAATATTTTTGTACTAGTATATGTATAATGTTATGAGTGATATGAATCACATACTGATTATAGCTTTTATCAAGTATAGTCAAACTTTATTAGTTAATGGTTGTTATATGGGCCGGTATATGTATGCGGCAGAGTATATGTAACCTTAGTGTTTAGTTTTATGTATACTTAGGACATTTTAGAGTGTCTGTCTGCAGTTTGGCCAGTTGTAGACATTTGAGTTTAATAGAGCAAGTCGCATATGTGTGTTGTTAAAGGGCCTATATAATGATAATGAATTGTTCTGTGGAAAACAGAAGTCGGATAATGTTGCTTTATTTTAATTACAAAGAGTGTTTCATTGTAATTGTTAATGTCGGGACGACATTCAGTTTTGGAGGGGAGTGTGTGACGTAGTTTATATTGGGTTTCAGCCACCCCCCATTTTTTTGTATAATCTATCAGGTTATATAGTTTATATATATCATATTGTAAATCCGGAATGTGGGGTATATTTTGGGTTGGACTTTATAACTACTGAAACCCGCCAAATAAACATAACGTGTTTCACCTCTCCTGTTCTTTATAGGTAAGAACTCAAATTTATACATGTTTACATGTTTATAACTGTTTTCTTGATATATAATATGTTTGATACAAAACATCTGTTTCTCGAAATATTGCGATTAGGTGAATTTCAATGTATTTGTGAATATTTTGATGCAGCAGCATGGTCTAGTCACGTGGTTCGAGTTCAGTGTAAAGTCTTTATTTTGAGTTATAACAATAGTAAACAGATTATATGTATAGAATTGTCATGTTTATAATCACAGAAAGTATTAGCTAAACATATAGATTTGATATTCTAAAGAATGTATAAAATTTCATTTGTTGCCGGAATAAGTTGTGTTGCTCGGTTTGGAGTCATGTTTTAGAGTTTGTAATCTGTTTCCGGTTTGAGGCAAAATGTAAACAAATACTGTTGTGAATGTGTTTTGGCTGTTTCGGACATAAAGATATGGTATTATTGAATATTTTATTGATAAATTATCAAACGAAAGTTGCTTGTCACAATTTTTATTCTAGTCAGCGATAATTTGATGTCATAGTAAAAAAATAATTGTAAATCCCCTAGACTAAATGAGTGCATGTGTATGTAATAATGTATATGTTGTTTGTTCGTTTATATAACTACTGAAACCCGCCAAATAAACATAACGTGTTTCACCTCTCCTGTTCTTTATAGATTCTGCCAGGCCAGGGTAACATTTAAATTATTTAAACAAGTCGGATAAATTTAAGTTGTGATGTTAACATACACGAAAAATTCCGATGTATGGATTGTTCTGTATATTTTTGGATCGATTTATGTCTGGGATAACTACATTTTGGAAGTTCAGGTAAGCGCAGCACAGTTAAGGTTACAAATGGAAATATCGCCGATTTTTTTTAAGATAAAAAGTACATACTTTATTAGGATGGGCGATTCTTTTTAGGACTTCACTGATATAAAAAAAAATGTAATGTGGTTGAAATCTACATGTTTGGGACATTTAAATTTTTTATTTAGACTTTTCCTGTGATGTCGACGTCACATGACTTTTGGCAATTATACTTGCAGTTTAGAGGTCATCTATAAATTTCAATATTGCAAGGGCATATAACCAAGTTAAAAATCTTAGTTTAATCTATAATCCTTTTCAACACTATATGTAGTTTGTGAAAAGTGCTGCGAACCTATTTAGATTCCCTTTTTTAATTGCTAAAACTTAATTTGTTGGACGGCAGGTTAAACATTTTACTGGTCAACTGCATTAAATATAGCTAAAATTAATATATTTGCATGATTTCAAGAGGTTCGCAGCACTTTTCAAATATCTTAATGCTTCTTATGTTTATGTGTAAAATCTTGACAAGATACATCGAGGCCTTGCAATAAATCGATATATTAGGGCCCTTCGATAACTTTTTCAATGAATCTGCATACAAACACACGAAAGTATGATCACATGTCTGGAAAATGTACGTACAGTTTATAAATAAAATACTAAAATAGACATCGCATCCAAGTTAACGGCTTTTTATTTAACTGCAAATAATATTTTATTTGCGAACACAAAAGGCATTTTTCATTGTACAAAATGCGACTTGATCAGCCTCTGACTATGTACAAACTGCGTCATTTTTGCGAGATGACGTCACATTGACAAGTGCATTGCGATCGATGCATCGTTTATATACTGTTGTGTTAAGATTTTTCAAACGACAAAACTGCATGTAATAATAAGTTTGAATGTAGTATTCAGCAATCCAGCTGTTTGAAATAGCAAATAATTTCATTTTGTAGCATTTTGAAAACCTAATATTATGTGTGACGTCATAGTTAACATTTCCCGTACAAATTAAGCACCTCCTGCTTACTGTAACCTTAACTGTGCTGCGAGGTATATAAATAAAAAAACCGTTTACAGACGATTTGAGCAGAAATCCACGCGGGGGCGAATCGCTTCCGCTTTGCACCATTATAATAACGGAGATCCTAAGGAGTTGTAGCCCTCTCCCAAATGAAAAAATCGGAGAGGGCTACATTATTGGAGCTAAGTACATTTATATAAAATATTTTTTTTCTAAAGGTTTTGAAGTTAACGCATAGAAAACAGTCTTTCAGTGTCAAATAAATAATATCTGTACGTTTCAGTATAGAATATGGCAATGTTTCCAACTTTTATATTTCAAAGAATTTTTTTTAAAAATCAGTTCTCTTCTTTTTTTTATATATGTTCTGACTTTAGACACTTTGAAATATAACGTCAGTCATTAAATAACTACATTTTATTTTTGAATTTTTGAAACTTTATTCAATTGGAAATTAAAAGAAGACTCATCAGTAATAGTTTCAATTTTTTTTAGCAAATGTCAACTGAATGGTACTCTTGTCAAAAGAATTGAAATAAAAAGATTATATCTTAGTTGAAAGTCTGGGATTAATATATTTTTTGATTACCGCACGTCTGTGAATTACAGCTTGAAGAATCTTCCGATTGTCCACTGCAGTCGTTTCCTCCATTTTGTGGGGAAGGATTGTTACAGCTCCTGCGTCTAGACCTTGTTCCACCACCACAGGTTTGTGAGCAGGTTGACCAGTATCCCCATGAACTCCATCCACCATTAAATACTGAAAACATAACATTTAGCGGCATATTTGATTCAATTTAGTACCAAATAAGAAAGCACAATAGACCATGCAAATTCAATATATACAGTTCCTTAAAATATGGGCGAAGTCTATCTAATTTTTACAAACTTGTATTTCTGCACTTAGATAAATAATAACAATAAATGTGTTACTGAGAAAGAACGTTAACTGCTCTTACCAAAATAAAAGAAAAACAATATTTTACACATTTAAATAAACCCCTCAAAATACAGGTTTAAATGTGGGAAAATATATCAATATATGAGTTGCGTCAAGCGAAGGGGACCTTTGTGACCAAATTTTCGAAAGTCCGTTTTGACCGTTTCTAAAAGAGCTAGTTTTTTTCTAAATATATCAATCCCATTTTTATGATATTCTTTTTAAATTCTAATTAAAACTCAAAATGAAAGTAACGAAATGCTAACCAATGACGCTATAAAACGTAAAATAACGTCACATGGCGTCATTTATAATTGAACCATCATTTGTAAACCAACCTTTTGTATTAGTATATTTTTTTTCTATATGTGTATTTCTTCAATATCTTTTTTTTTTCAAATTTAGTTTTTATAATCGTATACATGTACAGTTTTTAAGAACTAAAATGAAGTGATGATCTAAAAGTTATTGATGGAAGGACATGGAGTGTTTTGATATATCTGTAATGTTTTAATATATGAATCATGACAATCTGTGATATTTTTACCTGAATAAAATGAACTGAAATGAAATGAAATGGAGAGAACGAACAGTATTCAATTCCAAAGTCCATAAAACAATACAAAATAAGAGCAGAGCAAAAACAGAGGTGGGATCAGGTGCTATGGAGGAATTAGCATCCCCTATCGACCGGTCACACCCGCCGTGTGCTTCTTGTCATGATCAGGAAATAACGGAAAAAATCCGTCGTCAATTCAGTGTATAAATATAGGACTTACAATTGATGTGAAAAATGTCAGTCAGCATTTAACTCAATGATTAACTGTATTTGCTGACAAGGGCATTGTATCGACCGTAGAACTTACGAAATGATGACTTTAAAAGAGACTGCTGATATCCTTGTTTAGTAAACTTGTTTTTCAATAATCTACCTCGTTTTAGAAATTGTTCATACGTAGCATATGACATTAATTTTCGAACACAAGTGTTTGTAATATTGGTAGTTAGTGATGTAATTTAACTCTAGAAAATGAATAGAAACGTGCAAACATTAATAAAAAAAACTGTTTTTATTTTGTTATGCTGTGTCTGCCATTTTTATTAAAATCTACCACCAATGACATCATATGTGTACATCAAGTAACTTGGGAATTGATCATGTCGAAGCGATATTTTTTTCTGCGTATAACAATATGAACAGAGTTTTTTTACTCATTTTATCCTGAATTTTCTGAAGAAAATTATTTTCTGAGTGGAAATCAAATGAAGCTTTGATTTTAATTCTAGTTTTGTCTTATGAAAAGTTTGTATTAATTGTTAAATACATGTTAGCTTTTATATTATGTATGATTAAGCCTCACTTACAATTTTGTTCATGACCATGAAGAAAAACATTTATATTTACTTCACATAACCACCTTCAACAAAAAGCAAGGGCAAACGGTGACATTAACGTTTTATCTAAATTAGAAGATTGATTAAAAGTTTCAATCCTTTGGTAAAAGGAGGAAGGATTTGTCAAATGTATCCACTCATTTAAGTTTCGACGTTTGATCCTTAATGACAGAGCTTACTTGTACATTAGGACAATGTACTGAAATTTTTTAA